CCATATTCTGATATAATTGTGGTGATAGTTTAGCCAATCAAGATTCAATACTTGCACTGATAGGGCTTATTGAGCATGTCCATCAACTCTCTGAAGACTCGCTCTATCGGCTCGACGTCAATCAATTATTGTGTATAAGTTGATGCAGGACTCAATTTGATACGTGCCACTGCCAACTAATCAGAAAAATAATGGTCCCCGAAATCTCTACGCCATATGGATTTAAGTTAAAATCCTACTTAAATTTGTTAGCATATAGTCTCTTAGACAATTATGTAAATTGCCCTAAACATTTTATAAGAACTTTACCATGAAAATTAAAAAATTTGTCATAATTGAATCTTTTACTGGGAAAGAAAAAAAATAAAAACAGCAAAAGTTACTAAAAAATTTAATCTTGATAATCCTAGAAAAACTAAATAGTTCAAATAAAAAGTTAATTTGCATAGCTCTTAAAAATTTTATATTTTCTTAGTAATATTGAGTCAAAAGTTAATAAATTTTGATTTCATGACATTGTTCATCAAATCAACCTTCCCATGCATATCAGTAACTCCAAGATGCAAATGCTTTCTCAACTAAGGGTGTTCTGCAACTTTAAAACACTTAAAAACTAGCTGGTGATATAGACAACATGAAATTAAACTTTTTGGCAGAACTTGACTGTCGTTATCTTAAAAAAATTTCTAGACAGAGACAATAGACTCATCTAATTTTTTTTTTTAAGATTTACATACATACCACTCAATTCTAATATGTTTACATATCTAACACCTAAACTTCCAATTTTACATGCATACCATCATACACTTTTCAGAAGTTGAAATGGTGGCATTTTTTTGTGATAGGAAAATTTTAGGTATAAATATCAAAAGCAAAGTTTGGGCATTAGATATGTAAATACATAGGAATTGTGTGGTTTATCTGTAAATGAAACTTTTTTTTAAAACAATAGTGAAATCTGCATCCCAAATGTCGCATTACTTGACTGCATACAACTAAATCATCTACTCCTCGGATGACAATATAATTTTTGCCCACTTCGATCACATTCACCAGATCACATTCACCAGATACATCACTTTATGCATTGCCATCAACAACATCAAGCTGTCTCGCCCATCAACATCAGATCACCTCCTGGATCCACGTTAAGTTCCATCCCAGCCCAACATGAAATCGCCTACTTCGCTGATAACAGCTAGATGAGAGTACATACATCGACTCACCTCCGTCCCCGAAATCACAGTCCCCACCCGTCTACTCTCACAATATTAAGGTATTTCACCATTACAACCACGAAAGCATCAACCATAGTCCCAATACTACTGACTAAATAACAATATGATCAAGGGAAAAACATCAAGGGATATATATATTGATTTTAAGGGAGTGTTTATAGCTTGAGTTTCTTTAAGATGTAATTTTCAAACGCTAGAAATAAGATAGATTTTTTAGCATGCACAGATAGTTTATAGGGATCATACCTTTTTCATCAAGCCAAGCCCAATTATTGGTATCACTCATGAATCTTGAGGTAGCTCAAAAAAAGATTGATATGGCACTCAATCCTAGACAAAATATCAAATTAGAAAACAAACAAGCTCAAAATTAATGCAAAAACGCCCTCAATAGATCTTTTATGACACATTCATGACACAATCATCTAATTCAAACGTTTGAAGGCCACCAAAACAACTAATTCCATATGCACCAGGCCAATCCTCCCTGAGAGCATCAACAGTGAATCACAGTGACATTTCGAAAATAGTATGATTTTCATGTGCTTATTTTGTGAAATCTGTGACAAAATGCACCTCTTAAAAACAGTAAGTCATTATCATTATCATATAAGTAAACCAAGCCAAAGATGGCAAATTTTCTTAAAACCGCTCCTTCAAATTCAAAAGTTGAAGCTTTGCTCTATCACAACCACCAATGCACAAATGAAATCAAGCTATATGATAATTAGTCTCCTATCAGATAAATATAATCGGAATCATACTACCAAATACATACAATTGGAATCACAGCATGTTTTAAGAACAAAATATTTGTCCAGAAATTTTGTGGTAAAAGATTAAGACAAAGCGCTAATTTGCTTGGCAGGATCAACAATAAACAATTCATATAAGCTAGTGAAGACAACAATATACAGTTCTGATACGACCATACATTGGCACAAGATATAATTTATGAAAACTGGGAGTTTTTTTCTTCCAGGTGACATTTTTGGATAGTTCCAATTCAAATAAAATAGAATATGTTTGATATATAAACTAAACAGATGTATCACTAAACTGAACTATACCACGCTGTACAAACAAGTCACGGAGGGTTGTTAGAACACAAAGATCACATAACAATGCTATTACAAAATAAAAAAAAAATTAAAAAAATGGAATATGATGAATTATTGGCTAAAATTAAAAAAGGTGCAAATAATAATAATAACAAAAATTTCACCTCTCCCTGTTAAAAGCATATCAGCTCATCCTGTAGGCCCAACCGTGCTTCTCCAGGTATCCTCGAACTGCCTCCTTGATGGCAAGGTTGGGTATCAATTGGTGACTACTAAGTGGCTCTCTTGTTATTGGATCAAACTTTCCCATCTGCAACCAGATCAACAAATTCTAGTAAATTCGGAACATATTCAGGAAATTTATACACGTTTCTTAAATGCAATAGTTGGATTGGGTTGACCCGCCAACTCGACATTGACCTGCTAACCTAAAATTGAATCTAAATTGACCAGCCAATCCAAACTGAGCCGAGATTGACTCAAAATCGACCCAAATTTGAGCTTAGTGTTAAACTAGTTATACAAGTCGGGTTCAGATCGACAGGTTTAAGGTGGGTAGGGTTCGGATTGGACTTTCTAATCCGTTTATTATTCGAGTCAGATTCTGCTTAAACAATTTCGAATCGTGTCAATTTTGAGTCGTGTCAATTTCGGGTCAGAACTGCACCCGAACCGTGCACCCAATTTGATACCGCTACCCTAAGGGCAGGCCAGTCCAAGAAAAAAGTGTGAACTGACTTGCAAGCTCTGTTCCAAAGACTCAATTTGTCATAAATATTGGATTTTAGTGAGCACTAATCACAATTCTACTGCATAACTAATTGTGATATGTTGGCATTGTTTACAGGGGCATGTGCATAGAGATTTGCTAAGAAAATTAAAACGTTGATTTTCATGTCAAAATCATGAAACCTTTTGAAGGTGATCAAGTAGCGCTCTCCTTTCATAGGTAATGCCACTTGGGGTGATGACAGGATCCCAGAAAATTTCGAGTGTTATTTTGCAACAAAGGTAATCAGGAACCTGAAATAAAACATTCCAATTTCATTTAGTTGAATTTATACTTCTAATGCTGAAAATAGGAAGAGTATTGCATTCACACTTCTTTCAGGACATCATCCTCAGCAGCTTTGTTAAAAACTTCCTTCAGCATTTCAAGTTGATCTACGACATCTTTTGAAACCTCCTTAATTTCATCTTCAGATTGATGTCCATCAAGAAAATGATGCTCCAAAAGAGCTTTTTCACACGTATCCCTGAAGAATGGAGGACAAGTTATAGGTTATAAAAAAGAAAGATTTACATACATACTGCTCAACTCCTATGTATTTACAAGTTTAAAACCCCAATTTCAATGTTTACATATATGCCACCTTATATGCATGAAAAATATATATTTCACCTTTTAAATTAAAAAAAAAAAGTGGTTTTTTTATATGCTATGAAAATTTTGAGGGGTATAAATGCAACAAAATAAAATTTAGGTGTTAAATATGCAAAAACATAAGATTTGGGTGGTATGTATGTAAATGCCCCAAAAGAATAATAATAAATTCGTATGTTAAAACGAAAATACTGAACTGAGGCGCTTTTCAGTCACTTGATAAAAAAAAATTGACCTACTTCAGTGTCTGCAACTGCCATGTTCGCTTGCTGGATAAAAGTTCCCATTCTTTGTACTTCCATTTGGCAAGTTCCTGCCAAATATCCTCAGCCAAGCAGCCGGGAGGCTTCGCAGCCCTTCCAAGTTCAAAAGCCTGTATTTGGAGAAGAATACAACTAACGGCTTTTTACAGATTTTGTGTTTCATAATATAATGCTAGAGTGCCTGCGCATAATTTATAACTAGCAGGCAACACTTATAGGATGCACAGAGTATATGCATAATTAATATTTTCTGATAAAATGGCTACATATTTTACGAAATAAACTCTCTGTGACAAAAGATTAACACTGGAATAATCCCTCCCCAAACCTAGCATTTTTAGTCTCCTGAATTGGGTACTGCCTTTGATGCAAAAACACCATATGTGATTCTAGTATTCTGGAAAGTTGCATTTAAAATTTAGCATTAGATGGCTTCATCAAAGTTCAATCCAAAGCGTTCAGCTTCCGCTTAATAGCACGAAAGATTACAATTGGATTAAAAAAAAAAAAATCAATTCCTTGAGACCTTATAAATAAAGTGTTAAAAATCATTGGTCCAAAAAATTTTTAATTATAAAATTTAAATCAGTTAGTGTGTCTATGTGAAATGTAGTATATTTTCATGTGTTACAAAAATATATATATAAAATAATAATAATAAAAATTATGAATGTTTATTTTTTCATAGAAAAATAAATTTATTAAGCATCATATAAAAGTATTATTCATGTAATTTAAATTTAATTGTCATTTTTTAATTAAAAATATTTGACAATTTAATAGAGGCATTTCTGGTAAAAAAATGAGGTAACTACTCAACAAAATTCAATTAAAATATTATATCTTATTTCAGTATCACATGAAGGAGTACATAAGAACACTCAAGAAATCAAAATATAATATGGATCACAGATACACCTTTGCTCACACCCAAAAAAAATTCAAAGCTCTAATACCTTAAAGATTGATTTGCTCTACAAGTGACGAGAATATCAACATAGATTTGTTGGTCCGAATCTAGGACGTCGTTGGCTAGTGAAATGCCTAGACTAGGAGGAACGCAATCGAACAAAGACCGGCCCTAGTACTTTCAAGATTGATTTCTTTTGAAGATGACAATATCACTCAAATTTATTGGACCGAAGCTAGGAGGTCATTGGTTGGTAAAATGCACAAATTGGGAGGAACGCACTTGAAAAAGAACGGTAACCTTAATACCTTGAAGACTGATTTCCTCGGAAGGTGATGAGAATATTGCTCAAATTTTAGGGCTCATAGCTACGAGGTCGGTGGGTGAAATGCATGAGAGAATTAAACTAGAGGAACACTAAGAAAATCCTATATCATAAAAGAGAAGTCGAAGATCTGCAATAATATTTGGAAAGCCCAAGTTTTCTTATTTCAAGTCGGGTTTATGTCGAGCTCAATTTCAAATGTTAACACAACTATGGAGTCCAATAAGGTCACACAAATTGGGAGGAATGCAATTGAAAAAGATCAGTAACCTTAATACCTTGAAGATTGATTTCCTCTGAAGGTGACGAGAATATTGCTCAAATTTTACGGCTCATAGCTACGAGGTCGGTGAGTGAAATGCATGAGAGAGAATTAGTGGAGGAACACTAAAAAATCCTATATCGTAAAAAGGAGGACAAAGTTCTGCGATAATATTTGAAAAGCCCAAGTCGTATTCCTTATTTCGAGTCGGGTTTATGTCGAGCTTAATTTCAGATGTTAACACAACTATGAGGTCCAATAAGGTCGACCACATGTCATTATTTTATTGGACCTTGAACGTCACTATATGTCCGGACTCTAGACGTAATATTTTCTCTTTTATTGACAATGCCAAAGAAATACACAGATTAATGGTGAAAGTGAAATTAAAAATTAACTTAAGATTTATCATAACTAGTATCATCTCTGTCTTCTCATATTCTTATGATTATGTCTCTTTGCCTCTATCTAATTAAGTATTAGTTTATTAATTAAAAAAAGAAAAAAAGAAATAAAAAAATTAATAAACTACAAATAAAAAAAATCATCGATTATCAAATAAAAATATTCAATTATTAAGCAATAAACAAATAATTCATTAATTAATATTTATTCATTAGATATTATATGATTATGATTGAAATCGTGAAATAGATTTTTTATTACTTAATAAATAAATATATATTTTTACATAATTCATAACTTTTTTAAATTTCGGCTTATCAAAATTTATTATTAATTAAATTCTCATATTCAATGATGAATAATTGATAATTAATAAACTAATATTTAATTAGTAAAAAAATAAAACAAAAAAATGATGAATATTAAATAATGGTTACACTTCAACTGGAAATAAAAAAAAATTGTTAAAATGAACTTTTGACAAAATAATGCAAGAAAATAAGATTGTTAATAAAATAAAAATTTAAAGCATTAGCAATAAAAAATTTAACTCAACAATTAGGATTAAAAAAACTCAATATGATAATGATAGAAGCACAAGTATATTGAATTTATAATACGAATCTTAAAGTAATATAACAATATATTAAAATTTAGTTGAGAATAATAATTAACAAAAAAAGAAATGCAGTTAAACAAAGACAAATCAAAATTAATAAAAGATCAGATAAGTAGAGATATAAACTTTAACCAAATAAAAAATGAAATGTAGTTAAGCAAAAACAAATCAAAATTAATGCAACATAAGATAATTAGAGATATAAAAATTTAATTAAAAAAACATAATATAATAAGAATGAAAGAACAATCTAATGTATAATAAAAAAATCAATGCTCCTCTTTTTTATAATAATAGACTAATTGTATATAAAAGTGTTAATGATTCTCTCCAAATTGAATTCTAGTCATCCAAAATCTAACAATACATATTAATGAATAAATTATGTTCTCAATAATTAATTAATAAGTATTTATTCTTTCATAATACATTAATATTTCAATTCCAACTTCTCAATTTTTTTTTACTATTTAAATTATCATATTAACTGTCAAATAAATATTAATTAATGAATTAATATTCAATTAAAAAAATCTAAAATGCATAATCATAAGAATACGAGAAGATAATCTTACTATTATTTTAAAAATGATTTGTGATATCTCCCAAATGGAATGCTAGCTTTTTATTTTAATTTGATTTTATGCTTTCAATCATATTCATCTAATATCTAATAAATAAATATTAATTAATGAATTATATTATTATTACTTAATAAATGAATATTTATTTTTTTCATAAATAAAGAATTTTTAATTTCTAATTTATTAAAAATATTTCACTGTTTAATTTATTATATTAATTAACAAATAAATTAATTAATCAATTAATATTTAATTGAATAGAAGTCAAAGAGATATAATCAAAAGAATATTAAAAGACAAAGATGACATTGATCACAATAAATTCTCACTTCCCTCAATCCTAAGTTCTTCTTTCCACTAGTGATCAATACATATATTTTAGCATTACCATGAAAGATCCTCTTTTCAATAAATTCTAACTTCCCTCAACCCTCTATTTTCTTTTAAATGTTAATATTATTCTTTTACATTTACCATATTGAATTTTTTTATTTTTGTTAAAACTTGTTTCTATTTAGTCATATTTCGCTTATTTTTTTATTATTATTCTCAACTCAAATTGAATTAATAATTATATTATTTTAAGCTTTGAATTATATATTCAATATGAATTCTGTTTTTATCATTATCATATTAATTTTTTTATCCTAATTATTAAAATCATTTTATATTGCTAATACCTTAAATTTTACTCCATTACAAATTCTTCGTAATTATATATTCAATATGAATTCTGTTTTTATCATCATCATATTAAATTTTTTTTATCCTAATTATTAAAATAATTTTATATTGCTAATACATCAAATTTTACTCCATTACAAATTCTTTGTATCTTGTATTTTTTTGGTCGAAAATTAATTTCAATTTTTTTTTCAATTGACACGTATCCATTATCTAATAATCATCATTCTTTTCGTTTTTGTTCTTTAACTAATATAGCATTTAGTTAATTATATTAACATAATACATGTCATTTGCATTTTACTTAAAAAGGCATATCAATACGAATTGTGTTTTTATCATTATCATATTAAATTTTTTATCATAATTAATAAATTTATTTTATATTGCCAATACATTAAATTTTACTCCATTACAAATTCTTTGTATCTTGTATTTTTTTTGTTGAAAAGTCATTTCAATTTTTTTTTCAATTGACATGTATCCATTATCTAATATTCATCATTCTTTTAGTATTTGTTCTATAACTAATATAGCATTTAGTTAATTATATTAACATAAAACATGTCATTCGTATTTTACTTAATAAGGTATATCAACATCTATTTGCATATTCTTTAACTTGAAATAATAATAATAATAATATATAATAAAAGAGTAATGTTTTGATAATCTAGCATGTAGTTAATATTTAGCTATCTTCTGTAATAACACAAATCAAAATTTAAATTTGATATTGTAATTCAAAAATATTATCATTTTTTTAATTATCCAATTAGTTTCTGATTTAAATTTTATAATATTCATAAATCTATTAATGAAAAGTTTGATAGCTATTTAATTTAACTTCATTTTCCTTTTAAAATAATATGACAAACAATTAAGTATCAATTTAAAAGTAAAAAAAATTGAATGAAATTTAACACATAACGATATATTTGGAATCCAAGTTTGGAATGCCAAATTTTAAAATTTTGAATACAAAAGCATTATGTTAAAACTCTTTTTCTAATTATCATCACTTCACTTCTTAATCAAAGATATCTTTTTATTTACCATAAATATAATTTATTATTTTTAAAATTTATGTTATCTAAGTAATTTACATTCTAATCTTTAACTTAATAATTTAAATTCTTAATCATTTATAAAATTTATATAAGTGTAGTACATATACCATTATTAGATTGTCAAATATTTATAATTAAACAAAATGATTTAATTTACATTAAATAAAATAAATTTAAATAACATGAAAGATATAATTTCTATGCTGCAAAATAACTTCATTTGCTATTTAAAAAAAATGTTCATAATACATATATATGAAAATATCACATTTCCAAAAGATATACATTCATACTCTTTTAATTTTATAATAAAGATTTTCTTGAATCAATTAAGTTTTGTTTCTAAGGTCTCAATTGCTCGTTTCCAATATATGTATTTTTTCATTATTGAATTATAAATTATACTAATTATATTTTATCAATCATAACTTTCAAATAAATATTTAATTTATTCATTAATATGATATTCTTCTAATTAGTTATATTAGTAAATTTATTCTTTTGATCATTTTAGTTTAAAATTATTAACATCAAAATAGTAAAAAAAATTCCTAATTTTCTTTTAAAATTTCATTCACATGCACTTTATGCGTGTGGAATTACAGTAATAATAATAATAATAATAATAATAACAGTATACAACAAAAACAACAGCAACAATAACAACAACAAGCATATATCCTACTAAATGGGGGCAACTACATAAATACTTGTTTCTCCATTGTGTCCTATTGCGTGTGTATTTTCATTTAATTTAATAAATTAAGATTATTTTTTATACGACATGCCCCAGTCTTTTTAGGTCTACATCTACCTTTCTTAACATAAGTCAAATCAAGGAAATCTACTCTCCCAGTCAGATCATCAAATGGTCGACATTTAATATGACCAAACCATCTAAGACAACTCTCTCTAATTTTGTCTTACCACTGGAAGTACGCCAATCATTTCACGGATACATTCGTTTCACAATTTTTCTCCAAGTGTCAAGCCACTCATCCACCCAAACATTCTCATCTCAGCAACACTTAACTTAGTTTTATGCTTCTCTTTTATAGGTCAACATTATGCATCATAGAGAATCGCAAATCTCACCACCATCTTATAAAATTTTCCTTTCAAGTCTAAACAGTACTTTTTTTATGCATTCCTCCACTTGAACCATCCAACTTAAATTCTACTAATAACATCCCCATCTATATCACCATCAATTAGCTATACCAACCATTTCACAGATACATTAATTTTGAATTTTGTCTCCAAGTGTCAAGCCACTCATCCACCTAAACATTCTCATCTCAGCAACATAGTTTTATATTTCTCTTTCATAGGCCAACATTTAGCACCATAAATTATTGCAAATCTCACCACCATCTTATAAAATTTTCCTTTAGGTCTAAGCGGTACTTTTCTATCACACAATAGGCCCGATGCACTGCAAACATCCCCATCTATATCACCATCATTTAGAACAATAGAACAAAGATATCTAAAATATCCACTCATTTTAATGATTTGATCACCCATTGTTACAACTCTATCATTAGATGTACTACTGCTAAAATTACATTCCATGTATTCAGCTTTAGATCTACACAAACAAAGGCCTTTAAAATCTAATATAGACCTCCATAATTCAAGTATTTCTTTAACTCTTTCTCTAGTCTTATCCACAAGAAGGATATCATCAGCTAAAAATATACACCATGATACATCCTACTGTAAATGTCCCGTAAAGCATCACTAATTTAAGCAAAAAATATATGGGCATAAAGTCAATTTCTGATGTAATCCAACTGAAATAGGGAAATACATGTTCAATCTTCCTTCTGTTCAAACACAAGTAACAGCTCTAGCATACTGTGGGCTCCAAAAATTTGAAAAGGCCCTCGGGTTCTCGTCGAGAGCTTAACACGGTTTACGTTCTGAGTCAAATTTTCAAAAGGCAGATGAGATAGTAGATAAAACACCATCCAGAGATTTCGCCCTTCTGCGAAATTTTCAAGATCTGGGATTCGAGTTTTCTCATAGACGTAACCTCCTATAGTTAATTACACATTCTGATAACAAGAAACCATTTTCAATTAAAGCTAGTCATTAGGTGCTAAGTTTTCAGACTTAACATATAGTAGCAGCAAAATTGAGAATTTAAATAATAAAAATTATCATCGTGAGCTTAAAGCGAATGGTGGGGGAAACGACGAGGAACCCGATCAAGATCCCATGGTTATGTCATCCCGAGTTGTTAGGTCTCCGGTCTACTTAGTTAGCAGAGGTAGTCGGCCCAGCCTAACCGAAGGATCCTGGTCAGAAGCTACAGGTTGTTTCGTCCAATGGTACCTTGAAGGGGTGAATGTTTATCTAAGGGGACTAATCAAAGTCGAACTTAGCTTACAGTGAGCTTTCTGTCCAAATCCATTATCATTTTTGTCATAGGTATTTAATTCTTAAAAATAATAACATGTAACGATCAATTACATATTGATTTACAAATCAAATCAAGGAATTCATGGCATGTTGCCTTTTTCTATCTCTGATTTGCTAGTCAGCCAAACTAAGACTAACTTGCACATTTTGGTCACCCTACCCTCTCTTCAAAAATAAAGTTTACCCACTCTAACTAATCCACCTGAAACAACATTACCTTGTCTTAGCAACCATTTAGTTAGAAGTCAAATATGGTAAAAGTGATAAGTGGACGAATTGGAAGTGTGAAACAATTGAATTTTCAACAAGCCTTGTCCTACTCATTCTATTAAAAGAATGTTATCCTGTCCAATTGACGACAGTACCCATAGCATTTTTTCGTGAAATTAGGTATTCCATGTTTAGAACCAACTTGGTTTTTTGATAGAATAAACTAAACTGGAAACACGACTATCCAACAATAATAAATAGAAAATTAATTATACATTTAAAATAAATAAATTAGAGATAGACAACAATGAATATCATAAGAGCGTGTGAATTATACTGACCTTCTCTAATTCCTTGATTCCTCCTGTATAATCTCCCCTTTCTAAAATTGTGATCCCCAACATATAATGGGCCTGTTAAATAAAACCATTAAAACCGAAACATGCTACTTGGATCAGCTAAAGAAAGAACTAGGCTATACAAATATGAACTGCAGTTCGAAGAGAACTCATTTTTATATTAAAACTTCAAATATGTTCACTGATAACCAGGAGCACAAAAATATTTTAATAAAATTAAAACGGTATAATTATTATTGCGTTTCACACAATAAAAGTTGGAATCAGAGTGAAAAGGATAACTGAGCAACTTAACAGCAAGTTAGAGCAAAGTTATTATGCTATCAAAATAAAACGGATCCAAAACTAAATAAGAAATTGTTATCTGAATATTTTAAAACATCTCATCTCGCCAAATCAATTGCACTATGCTGCTGTAACTCATCCAAACAAACAACCTTCTAGAGACTAAAATAATATGCTTTAATGCACTTTGAGGAAAATAAACATGAACAGGTGTGAAATGAGAAGAGAACGGTATAAAACATTCAACTATTTTCTTCTAGGCTTTGTTGAGAAACCTATTCCTAGAGAGTTGATTAACATTACTTAACAAAATTGGAGAAGGTATGCCTATGATATTGAGGATCGGGAAATAGATGACTGACTGAGAAAACATGTACTTGTGAAAAGAAAAGAAGAATCATTAACTGAGAAAGCGTAATTAATTTTAATGGTTTGGAAAAAGGATGGGGATGTAGTTTTGGAAAAAAAATGAAAAGGACTAGAGGAGGTGAAACGTGAAACAGAATACAAATAAGGATAAATAACAATGTTTGGTTTGGGTTAGGAGCCCACAAAATAGTAGTTTTGCTTTTCAGCTAAATCCAACAATTTTTTCTTACTCCCATTTAGGACGCATAACCCATATTAGATGGCCAGATCTTTTGAGTGTTGACCGAAGCATTACATCGTGAAAACAACCAAATCCCCTAATCACTCAAAAAAAGTTGCCCCTACTTTCGAGCATCCACGAAGTGGACTCGGAAATAATTTTCTTTGGGGAGTTTGAAATTTTCTACAAGTGCAAGCACTCATAGTTAATTACCCTGCCCATTCCTAAGAGAGCACTCTCAATTAAAAAGGTTACTTTGGCTTAATTTTAAATTTAAATTTGATAATTATGTTTGAATTTAGTTGAATGGAAAATATTGCTGTAATCATCAATGTTCTCACATTTGAATATCTTAAACATGGCCCTACATGTGCCAAGACAATATCATCAAAATACCAAGTGTCTCGTCGAATCATTTCTCTCGTCGAATCATCAAAATACCAAGTGTCTCGTCGAATCATTTCATGAAGATCCTTCCCATTCTTGGGAAGACCTTTTGTATTGTAAGGTTGCATTTCTCAGGGATTCTATGCTGAACTCAAGCATTGTTTCTCAACATAGTCCTTCCAATCTCCCCATGAACTATCTTAATCTTGGAAATAACATCCAAATAAGCTACTTGTCACTTTATGTAGGGATTCCAAGGAGAGCAATGGTGCATTAAAGACAATATTCAATGCCACCGCCATATCCCTTTTACAAAAATTTAATCCCTTGTAATTTCCATATGATGATAATTCACAGTGGCTAAGTTACCGTTGCACAAACATATTAATCGTTGCATATAATGATGCCCCAATATATTACCGGTTAGAGCACAAATTGACTGGCTCATAACTTCCATAGGATGATTACAACTTCAAGATCAAAGCTGTCATAGTGGAAACCAACATTAATGATAGCTTTCTTCATAAAACCCCTTAACAAATTTTAAGTAGAGATATGTTAAAAAAAAGCATTACCTGTGGTGGCTTTGAGGATCTGCAATTTTCTGAAGTCCTCTTCTACCTCTTTTATATTACCTTTATACTTCTCTCGTATAATGGCAAATGTCTTATAACACTAAAAAAATAATAGTAAGCTCTAACCAATGTATTGCCATGGCGGATGTAAGTCGAGATTGAAGCACTTCAAAAATTCTCCATTTTTTGCTCTTTATTAGGTTTTTGTCTGCTCTATTCTCTCTCCCTCCAGGTGTTAATTACATAACTTTGGGCATAGAGAATTCTTCTTATCTTTTTGGACATCTGTGGAACTCTCTTATTGCCACCCCAAGTAAGCCGACTTTTCATTGTTCACATTTGACATGTTCTATGGGAAGTTAGCATTACAACATTGTGAAAAGATAGATAAGGGGGACCGGGTGCTAAGATAGCTCAGCAGCACAGTCTCAAATATCTAATAGAGTTTCTTCTACTTTGTAGGAGGACTTGCCACTTTTGAACTAAATATTGCAAACTATGATATGCTTGTCTTCTGAAACACATACAAAGAAACCAAAGTGCTTTCCTACATCAAAACTTATGAGTCCTATGTTTATAAATCAACACTTAGTAGTCTAGTGATCTCTTACAAGTTGGGAGGTCAACCCAAAAAAACTCTGAGCAAAACAAGCATCTATGGTGGGGTTCTCTAAGAAAAGATGCATTCTCAAATGCACAATAAGTCTAAAGGTTATATGAAAACAACTATGATTATGAGTCCAATCAAAGGGGCTTCCTAATTGTACGTGCCACATTTGCCAACAACAAGATGTTCAGAAGAACTCACATCTTTTTTCATTTTTCAAGCAACCAATCACAATTGTTTGGGTACAAGGTATGTCAACATTCATTTGATCGCCCTTGTTAATTGGCACAACCAACAAGGAAATGCAAAAAATTGCTCTCGCCTATCTTTAACTCAATTAGTGCTACCTTCGACAAAACTTATTCATGTTGAAAGCTACTTTATCAAGACTTGTAATGTAAGCCAGCAGCCAAAGAACCCACTAAGACTAAACTACAAGACTGTGCAACCCCACTTGTGCCAGAATCTAACAAATATGGTATTCATAGTGTGATTTCTCAAAGGGAGTCAAGAAAGAGTGACATTGATGATTCTTCAAGAGATATGTTAGCTAGTGGGGTTAAAGGACTTCACTTAAGTAATCATTTAGAGCATCAAATAACTTACGCTATCATCCACCATCAGCCATCACACTGAACAAGATTTGTCTTCGCCTAACCATCCATTCCACCACTATAGTTCCCCGCCAAAGGATATAACTTTCACTGCTTCACGATTACTTCAAACTAACTATAACCGTGGAGTGTCACATGTCAGCCACTTGGGTCCTCTCATCTACCAATGTCAAAAAACCCAAATAGCCTTCTTGGTATTGTTATATACAGTTGGTAATAAAGGGATAATTTATTGCTAGGATTAAGCATGTATAGATTTTTCTCACAACCCAAGCCTTGCCACACCTCTACTTCAACCGCCTGCGACAAAGCCACACCACCCTCCCTAGCTTAAAAACCTAAATTCAAAATTACACATGAAAATGCACATCAGCAACCAAGACAAGATCTACTTAAAGAGATCAAATAACAACTCTCAAACAATCAGGGAACAAAAAGCCTGAGCAATTTCATAAAGCTCATTAAAAACTTGGCTTACATATGTAGTGGAAGGTGACCATCACTAGGACTATCATGGTCCCTTGTGATCTAAAAGCTAATCAATAAATGTTAAAACCATTTCTTGAACATAAAAATCCACTTGATGAACTCACATCAAGACCATAGCTTGCAGTGGCTCCTCAAGTTTATCTCACATTCTTTTTATTGTCTCCAAACAAGTGTTATGATTATTAGTCTTAGCAATATCTCCAGTAAATAAAATTTAGTTATTCTCACTCTACTATTCACTGGTTCGTTTTTAAAAATTCCTAGCTTGGTTCCTCATTTAGCGCATGCATGTGTAGCCAAACCGGATAAAAATGTCGACTCAAGTTCATGCAAGCCCTATCTAATTAATTTTTATTTTAAGTTCTTCACCACCTTATGTTCACCATCATATTCATGTATCCTGATAACTCCAGGCTATCATTGGTTACACCTGCACAGCTCATCCCAACAAGTAGTATCAAATTCTAGACTAGAACAATTAGCTCTTTGGCCCTCCTCGCTAGACATTTGACATTTGATCGTGTAGGTCAAATGCTCTTATCAACGACCTAAGACCAAGGTCACGGCCCTCATTATTCTATAAGTAGGGCAATGCGAGATACTCTTTAACCACCAAATTCCTAAAACCACAAACATGAGAAGATTTGACTAGCAAACAAAGCTAAAAATTAATGATAAAACTTGTGATGAAATTAAGTCATCAATTAGTACATCGATTAGGCTAATCAATCATCAAATTAGTATTAAGTTTACAACTATTTTTAATTAAGAGTTGTTGCATTGATCAAGTTAAGATATATCCTAATCTCGATCAATAGACCTAATTTAGTTCATATTAAGTTAATTAACACTTAATCATAAGAACTAAATAAGCCCAAATTTTAAAATTCTAATCAAGCAATTTAGCTTTAATTAGGATAATTAGGCCTTAATTACTATTGAATGTCATAGCATACAATTTCAACCAAATATAACCAAGGGATTAATCAATTAAGGAAAGTTGGAGGAAACAGCAGAAACAATGCTTAAAACATCAAAAACAATTTTGAGGTTTGGCATAGGTGTTAAGGTGATAACATCAATTGAACCTCCAGTAATAATAGCAACGAAAGTAACACCAGAAATAGGACCAGCCATATTAATTCGCGCAAAGTTGCATTTGCCGAATTAAATTATGCATTGAGATTCATGATAAAAATTAACTTAACACTGGCCATAAACAAATTTTCAATTCTAGTCAATGTTATCAGTGTTCAACCAGCAAAATAACTCAATTCCGCTTTAGTTTCATATCTATGCCTGCCTAGCTTATGCCAAATAAAAAATTGTTTAAACAAGCCAATGATTGAATTACACAATAAAGAATGCATTTCGACCTTTGTTTTTAAATTAGGTTTTTTTATTTTTTGTTCTATTCTAATTTCCTTTAACCAAACAAACCGGAAAAAAAAAAACTAAACTAAAAATTTTAAAATTAAATGTTTTCGTAAATGAACCGTTTATACCAAATTAATTTTTAGTACGATCGGTTCGGTTTTATCAAAATTTAAATTGGTTTGGTTTTCCAGATTTCGAATTTCGGCTGCAATAGATTTGACCAATTTAAAAATCTATCCATCTAAACCAACCGAATGCTCACCCCTACCTTCTAGTCCAAAATCAGAACCTGCAGATGACGTTAACCCATACATAATGGCCATAATTCATATTGAGCTACCCCAATAATTGCAATGAAAAGCCCTTGGCCGATTTATTCATCCTAAATTGGTTTATATTAACACATCATGAGCATTATGCATATCTAAAACTTTAACGTTACCTATAAATCTACGGATGAATTTCAATTCCAAGGAACAGCAAACAATGAGAGGCGACGAAGTAACAAAAAGGTTGCCAAGCATATAGCACAACGGTGGAGGAAACGATTCTGTATAACCACAGTGTAAGCAGTCAAACCGAAGAGATGACCTTACCTTAACAGAGCTGCTGTCAAGCTTTATAGCTGTTCTACAATCCTCTTCTACTCGTGTCCAATTTCTAACCAACTCAGCAGAAAACCCAAACTAAAGCATCAATATAGCCATTTAAAAAATTTCCACACGGAAACAAAGGAGGAAATCGAGCTTCCTTTGTTTGTTGCACTTACTTCATCTTATAATAGCACAGCGCCCTATTTGTCCAGTACACAACCACATCTGGGCATAGCGTAATTGCCTAAAACAAAAAATAATAATAATAATAGATTCAGTGAGTTTGCAGATTGGACCACTATCAAATAAAGGTAGAATATCGAACAATCAGTGGTTAAGCACTAAACTAAATTGGAAAAACGCAGAGGATAGCCCCGCTCTACTCGAATGGAACAATGACACAAACAGGAAATCAATCAAGAAGCCATGGAAAGTAAATTTTAGTTCATTCCAATATAAAGATGAGATCGGATGAATAACCTCGGTGTACGCATCGATTGCCGCGTCAAGACGCTCTTTCCATCGAGTTTCCACAGCTCCGCCTGCATGGTGACGCTCACAGGCACCGGTGCCATGTCTCCTCTTAGGTCGCCCGACTTCCTCAATAGATCTCTGTGTCTCTCCCTCGACTGAGAACCGTGGTTGTGCTGATTTCGTATGTGCCGTTCTGTATAAGAAATTGGAATATGTATCGTCGTTCTTGTCCTCCGATATTCTATGGAAGTTTCGAGATACCATGGACGAAGGGCGGAGCAAGAACCGCAGACTGCGTCTGCGTGTGGTAACGGCGGAGGAGAAGAATCGTCAAGGAGATATGGACTGACTTCCAAAAAAACGAAAATTTACATATATCACACAAACACATCACCTAGTTGTTATGCATTTAATAATCTCACACCTAAATTCTCGTTTTTACAAAATCAACCCCCAATCTATGAATAGAAATTTAAATTTCACTGTTAGGGAGTAGTGAAAAGGATAAATTACATTAATGCTGATTTTGTAAAAATGAAAGTTTAGGTGTGAAAAAAATATTACATCAAGGGTTATGATGCAAAACTGTATTATGACTACAATTATAATGTGTCATGTGTACGGTCTGACTCTAATGAATACAAAAAACCAAATAGTTTAATGCATGGACGGACCGTACACGTGATACATTGTGATTAGAGTCCTGATGCAAGTAATATTTTTTCGTAGTTGTGATATGAGTAAATCCATAAAACTTGAGTGCATTGTATGTAAATTTTCAAAAAATAAAAATAAAAATAAATAATTTAAAACAGAGCATGAAAAAGTAAATAAAAATTTTGTGAAGGTATCTTTGAATTTTTTTTTTATATTTATGTATCTAATATCTTAATTTTATATTTTTTTTATATAATATTTTCATTTCTAGATATATAGTTAGGTTTGTATAAAAATTTAATTTTATATAACTCATAGTACATATAATTGAAAGCATGCTAATTTTATAAAAAAATATAAATCAAAACTCTTGACTTAAGAGATATGTTTAGTTTTAAGGGACTTCTATGAGTTAATTAGCAAAAAATTTAAATATATTATTTTGACCCTTTAAACTTAAAATTAATATTTCAACCATCTCTTATTTTATTTCTTTCAAAACATGAATAATCGAACCATCATATTTAAAATTTTGAATGATTGATATGTAAAAACCTCTAGTTTTAAGCAATATGGAATATATAATGTCTTCAGTGACAATAACGACTGCATGTAATTAAGAAATTGTAAATCAAATTAAATCACATCATTTCAATGGTTTAATCCAACATATCTTGAAGATTTGAAGACTTAATTATCTATTTTAGACAAAATACAAGAAATAAAGGGTTCAAATGCTAAATCAAGCATTTACAAATGTACCCTTCTTATTCAAGATGGCCTAAAATGAATTCAAACCATATGAACTCAATGTGTTATTGTGCAATCTTGTTTTTCAAATAATTCTAGAAATTTTCATCAAGTTTTTATTGTTTTATGATTTTTTTTTGTTTTATTTATTTTATTTATTTGTTCAATTAATTTGTAAAATGCAAAAGAAATTCAAATTAACCCATAAAAAATATTTTCTATTATTGGAAAAATCATGGGAGCACACCAAGACAAATCTTAAGTGGCCAAAATTCCATGCAATTATTTTGAATTTTTAATGTGTTTTTTTTTTTTTTGATTTGGATGTTTTAGTTAAATTCATAGATGATTTGATGTTATCTTGTTTTGATTTTATTTTTTATTTATTATCTATATTTTTCTTGAGAATGTGAAATTTTAATTTGTATTTTTAGGATTTTTCTTGAATTAGCTATGTATTTTCAAAGTTTATCCTATTTTCCTAATTTTTTGAAAGGATTTAAATCCTATTTATTTATCTAAACACATGGATCCTACGTGTCTAGCCACGTCAACAAAACACCGTCGCCTCGTCACTGCCATTTTCACGTGCCACTCCTCCATTGGCCATCCAATGATTAGAGGCCACGTCAGATTGATCACATGCGTTGTTCCAAACAGCGCACACACCTCCTTTACTGATTTCAGCCGTGCATTTTTTTTAAAGAAATGGGCGGAGGGACCTGGAACCGATACCTATCAAGAAAATACACAAGATCCTCACAAACCTACAGGATGAATTATCAAATTAACATAACCAAATCCATCATTTTGTCACGACAAAACGATCCTACGTAAAAATCTACTAAAATGCAAGTTTGTTTCACAAAGCTTCAAAACCAAGACCTAAATCTATATTAATATGAATACCTTGATTAGTTAAGGGTCTTCTCGATCCAAAGCTTGTATCACAATCAATTTGATCCCACAAACAGTATCCCAGAGCAAATTGTAAGTTGCAAGAGTTCCTTATAAAAATTCGATCAAGATCATACACCAACCTTGATTAGTGAAGGGTCTTCTTGATCCAAAGCTTGTATCACAATCGATTTGATCCCACAAACAGTATCCCAGAGCAAATTGCAAGTTGCAAGGGTTCCTTATAAAAATTCGATCAAGATCATACACCAAATGGTCAAATAGTTGTGTAGAGAGTTCAATAAGATGGGAATTTAATAAGAAAATGGGGTTGTGCACTTGAGAAATGTGACGCAATGTTTAATAGAGAACTTAATGGATAGACAACGAAATCGTCAAGGTTCTGTTTTGGGACAGCGAATTCAATGGAGAATTGGTGATCTAGGGTTATGGAATCAATGGTAAATGAAAGGGGAGGTTGAATGGGAAAGTTAGGAATTAATTTTGTCATGGCTTTGTCAAGGATTTAAGAGCATTCGATTCTAACCCGAGAAGGTTGGAAATTGTGGCTTGAAATAGGCTTGTTTGGCTTGGCTCAAATTTAAATTTTAGGATGGATTTGAATTGGCAAATGGTGGCTAAGGCCAATTTTGGGTGAATTGTAGTGTAAGCTCATGGCCAATGGGAAGGCTTAACTGGGGTGGCTTTGGTTTGGAAAGGTTCAAAGCTTGGATGGGTGCGTGGGCGGGTAGAAATTTTGATGGAATTAATTTTATTTTGAAAATTATGGTGATTTAAAAAATTAAAGAAATTTGTGTTGTGATTTTGAGTGATTTGTGAATAATTTAGTAAATGAAACTTAATTTTTAAAATTTTTATTATGATTATGAATGCTTTTAGGTAAAAATTTTATTTTGTACTCTTCAGTCGAAATATAATTGTTGGTCAGCTCCAACAATTCAGCTAGAATTTTTGGTCGTTGGAAAACCAAATCATGACAGAAGCATCCCTTCTTTAACCCTTGATCTAGGGCAACATGTGTGATTTCAAGTTCTAGATCCCACACTTCCAACATCTACTTCTAGAAAAAGTGAGCAGAGACTCTCGTTTTGCTTCTGCCTGATCCGCAACAGAGCTTGCAAACCGTTCTAAGGCTTTTGGACCCTGACAAATTGTGTCACAAACGTTCTCTTGAAGTCAGTGAAAGAGGTTATTACACCAGTCGATAGTCTATTGAATCACCAGAGGGTTGATTTCTCTGTGTGGTGAAAAGGAAGTGACACTTCAAAGCGTCGGTGATCATCAACAAGCAGATGGTCGACTCGACAGATATAGTCAATCGATAAGTCTGACATTTGTAGGAGTCCAATGATGGTATCTTGAACTTATCAAGGGGTTCAATAGTTGAAATCTAGTGAGAACTCATTCTCCAACTTGCGTGAGGGAGTGGGGACTTGATACATCCAAATTGATGTATGTCTAGCGAGGTAGACCCAGCACTATACTGGTTTTGGGAATCTCCTGCTCTGTTAGAAGCTTGAGTCGCCATTTGATAGTTTGTGCTTGTGCTTCATCTTCGAGGTTCTGCTCCCTTCCCCTTGCAACTGCCTTTCCAATGGCATCCAACATCTAGCCCATCATCTGGTCCATCAACTCTTAGATTTGTTGCTACACAAACTCCCTAATGCACTTCATGTTTGCAGTGTCTCTTTTGTGGGTTTCTCTCCATATTATGCTCTTCTTCTTGTTGTTGGCATGATCCACACTCACTGCACCTTTGAGAATGTTGAATATGAGCTGCTTGTGAATCACACTCGAGGAATAAAACGTAGAACATCAGAGAGAAAGAGAAAGAGTATGTGTGCACAATAATGAATTGATTCTTTGATTAATAATTAACATTTATTGTAGAAATGACCCACTATTTATAGGAGATGGGGGTCTCACATGCATAATTACATCGTTACCTCTGCTTTAACAGGCACGTTACAGGGTATTTTGGGTACTTACATAATGAGTTTATGGCTCTGCTATCTTATCACGACAAGACTCGCTTGACTGACTATGTTGAGTTGGGGAAACTAGTCAACTCTAGTTGAACTTCGGTCTTCGAACTTCATTCGGTTGACTCGAGTCAATCAATCGATTACTTTGGTTTGGTTGTAGACTGTTGGCCCCTATATGAGGAACTCCTGTTGTCAAGATCAGAGTAGATTATCAGGCAGAGGGTGAATCACTCTAATTTGATATTTAGCCCACTCATTGACAGAATGTCCATTTGGAGTGTTCACAGAGTGTGTCGTGATGAGAAACTTCGGCCTCCTGAAGAGTCTTGAAGGCTCTTGTGAAGCGGTTAGCGATGCTAGGACAAGAGCTGGGCTGATGTTTTCTCTCTACTCAATAAATCTTGGTCTTTGGCTTAAACAACCTTCATTTGGGCTACTTCTGTCCCAACCCGCGAGACCTGCATATGGTTAATCGAGTCTTCAGTCTTCCAGAGATGTGACCTCTTATTGCGGGTCATATTTAACCGCACTTTTATCTCTTATTTCTTTAAATTTTCTTGAGATTCATGTCGACTCATTTCTAAAAGTATGGAAATTAAAAAATGGAAGCCACCAATAGACTAAACTTGTAAAACCCAACTGATCATACAATAAAAGAGCATAGGGCAACAAATTATGAAATTTGCAATGTAATAACTAAAGGGGTTTGGATAATTTATTTATTTATATTTATATTTCTATTTTATTTTTAAAATATTTTAACTCTTTTAAACAGATCAATTTAACTTTTGGATGAAGATTTACAAATATACCGCTCAATTCATACACATTTACATATCTAAAATCTAAAATTCAATTTTTACATATTGGTAAGAAAACATACTTTACTTTTTAAAGATGAAAATAGTTTTCTTTTTTGTGATATGAGAGATTTAGTTGGTATAAACTCAAAAAAAACATTGTTTAGGTAGTAATATGTAAATAAATAGAAATTTGATGGTGTGTATTTAAATGCCCATTTTAAAAACATTACAAATAAATACTGACAGGTTTTTTGGAAAATAACCTACATACTAATTAAAGATGTCAAACACTTTTTATTTTAAAATAAAATACAATAAAATTAAAACATAAAAGAAAAGATAAAAAATATTAACCTAATCTCAAACAACTAAAAATTTAATATATTTGAAGCCAATATATACTCCAAATTTATTACAGAGTGTCAAAAATTGATCCGACACGCAAACACGACATGAACTGAACATTAAAATTTTGAATTAGAGTTGATCCGAATATTTTTCATAATCGTCAAAAATTCGACCCGTTTATCATTCCGGTCGAGTTAACTTGAGACCCAAACATTACCTGAATATGCAAGAAAGTTTCGGGTCAAATTCAACTTAGCGAATCAAACTTGGGTTCGGGTCATGATTTTTGACCCGTTTATTACTCAGGACGGGTTTGGGTCGACCATATTCGAATCGGATTATTTTCAAATCGGACCGGAACCCAACAAACTGACCTGAATTGACACCCTTAAATTTCTTCCAAACTCCTTATTTTCTCAGCGTACAATGCTCATATACATGCGGGCTTGCGGAATATAAAAGCTAACCGCAAGCCCAAATAGCTGTATGAAAAATTAAAAGCAAATGCTAAAAAAAGACTAATCTAATGTATTCAGCCAAATTATCAAAAAAATACTACTAATAATAAATATTTCCCATTAATCCCAGCAAAATCAGCAGTTACCTTTTCCCCTCATAAGCAAATAAAAAAACGGAGCATCCACACAATAGACTTTAAGGAAAAGATTACTTCCACAATTTTCTGAGGGACATGTTCTTTTCAGTCTCCTTCTTCATCACTTTGGCCACTGCCATCTCAAAATCCTCCTGTGTAACGTGCACTCTCCTCTCTCTAAGTGCAAACATACCTGCTTCTGTACAGACAGCCTGACATACCAAAATCAAATCAATATATCCATACAAATCATGCAATCATGCAGTTCCCGATACCATACGGTATAAATCACATCATAATTTTATGACATACAGGATTATGGTGTTATATAAGTAAAAAATTTAGAGGTCAGACATGTAAACAAGAGTTCAATGTTATGTTAGTAAATCTCCCATAACAATAATGGCTAAACAAAGTTCAAAAGAATATTTGCACCACATGCATGCCAGTACGTGAATGTAATTGACCAAAATCATGAAGTTTTGATTGGTTTGCCATGAATGATACCTTGAGCTCTGCACCAGAAGCACCGTTCATTTTCTCAGCAATTTTCTTTAGATCAATTCCGCGCATCAAGTTCATCTTCCTTGAATGAATTTTCAGAATATCCCAGCGGGACTGAAAAAATCCCAGGCAAAGCAGAGATTTAGCTTAAAGAACTACATGAAGATCGATTAAATAAGGCACAATCTAAGGAGAACAATTCCAAAATTAAGAAACGTGCCTCTTCGTTGGGGTTAGGAAACTCGATTTTTCTATCGATACGACCAGGCCTGAGCAGAGCTTGATCCAGAATATCAATCCTATTAGTGGCCATAAGAACCTGTCAAAAACGATGTTCGAATAATTTGTGTTATTCACTAAAATTTGAAAATTAATTTGAACAAAGTCAGAGACGGTTACTTTTATCTTATTTGAAGCTTCAAATCCATCCAACTGATTGAGAAGTTCGAGCATAGTCCTCTGCACCTCACTGTCACCATTGCCAGATCCAGATTCCATTCTAGCGGAACCAATACTGTCAATTTCATCCATGAAGATGATGGAAGGAGCATGTTCCCTGTAATTAGTAAGTAAACCATTCAAATGTCAATATTCATCTTAAACAGCAATATGAATTGATGCACTAGTAAAAGTAACAGCAAAACAGATGGTCTCCATGTGTTTTGAAAAAATCAAAAATAAGAAATGAAAATGGAAAAATAATGAATTGAAACTAATTTTTACCCACTTGTTAGGCTGAGGAGAAATAAGGTGATCATTTTTTCCCTTTCATTGTTTGGTTGATGATAAATTAAGTTTTTCATTCTCATGAAAAAGAGATGCTAAATCATAATAATGAATAATAATTTTTCTTCCAGTTTTTCAGAATGGTAAAACATATATTCATGAAAAAAATGAGACTTTGATTAAGAATTTATTGGAGCTCATTTGGTTGCTTGTAAGTAGAAAGGATGGTTTAAGAAATGATGATTTTCGCTCATTTTGAGTAGGAAAAACAGGGAGTTTTGGGAAGAAACATTTTTCAAAACAAATTTCTAACTTCAAAACCAGAGTTTTGGGAAGAACTCAATATTGGAATCTAAGTGCATCCAAACAAATCATCATTTTCAAAACTGAATTTCTAACTTCAAAACAAGATGAGACCTTTAGCTAAATTGATCTTGCTATTACTTTCATTTGAACCAAGCAACTAATATGAAATTATGAAGTAAATCAAATATGGATTCCCAATAATTCCCTCAAAGAAAACAGATCCATAATGTTCCAACTAATGGTATGATTGTGACAACGTTGTTTAAATTATAATTGCAGCACTGCACGCAGTGTTTTTTTTTTTTTTTTCCTTCCTTGTAATGAATACAAGCTCAGACCATATTTTAGCTTTATACTAAAAACAAAACAAAAACATCCTGAAATTAGCATATAACTAAATCAGAAAATTGAAGAACTAGAACCCAACACCTTCTGTAATTCACCCATCGCACAACTATATGTCGACCAGATAACAAATTTTCAGAATATCCTGATCCTGAAACGCTAAGGGGCTTTTTGGGATCACTCTCGATTTTTGTTTTCTATTTTTTATTTTTATTTTATTTTCAGTTGAAATAAAGCATATTTGATATGTTATAACATGTTTAATTGTCCTTAAAAACACACAAAATAACCTTTAAATGTTTTAAATATTTTTAAAAGCAAGCTAATTCTCGTTTGAAAACAAAAAAAATAAAAAATGCAAAAAATGAACTAAACAAAAATATTTTTATTTTTACTTTTTAAAAAAAGTGACCCCAAAGAAGCCCTGTACATTGCTTGCTTCTAATCAGTGGCATTAATTCCACCACATATTACCATATATTTTAAAAATATAGCTAACGAACAAAAAAAACGAGTATTCACTTGAGGGGGTGAAGGCAACAGGAACCTTAGCTTACCTTGCCATAACAAAGAGTTCGCGAACCATTCTAGAGCCTTCTCCAATGTACTTCTGAACCAATTCAGAGCCAGAAACCCGAATGAAGGTACAATCAGTATGATGGGCGACAGCTCTTGCCAGTAAAGTCTTTCCAGTACCAGGTGGTCCATACAATAAAACTCCCTGAAAAAGGGAAATATTTAAATGTTAAGTGAACTTAGGATAATAAAAAAAAAACTGGACAGTAAACAAAGACAACAACACTAGAAGTTTTACTGCATTCAAATGAAAAAGTAACAATATGTATTACAGATCCAATACCTTTGGTTGCGCTATTCCAAGACTTTCAAACAACTCCGGATGTTTGATGGGGAGCTCTATAACCTGCAAATAAAATGAAATCTTACGATGCAATTCTGAAACCAGTGCTCATGTCAAGTCTAGGCCTAATAATGAATGTATTATTAGGTAATAAATGAAAGTAGTTTGCAAAAATTATGCAAAATATCATAGATTCAATTCTGAAACCAGTGCTCATGTCAAGGCTAGGCCTAATAATGAATGTATTATTAGGTAATAGATGAAAGTAGTTTGCAAAAATTATGCAAAATATCATATAGATTGAAGTAGAAAAAGAACAAAAAAAAGATCAGCTGATATCTTCTAACCTCTTTTATCTCTTTGATTTGCTGATCAAGGCCACCAATCATATCATAAGTAGAATCAGGAACCTTCTCAACTTTCATAAGATTAACCAAAGGATCCACTTTGCTAGGTAAAATCAAGTGAAGCACATAGCTATCATTGCGAAGAGCCACTCTGGTTGACGGCGTGATCTTTGTTATGTCAATATTCTTATCCACATCAACAACATATTTTCCTTCTGGATGAACCTGCATATTAAATCAAACTTCAATTTTCGGGCCCTAATTGATTTAGACAACTTAGAATTTTTAACGGAAATAGATTTTTTCCCTCAAACTAACGCCCATGAAGAGAATCAAATACAGTATTAAACAGTCAGATACTTGATATTGTGAATTACTGCAAGGATAAACTGTCATATACTTGGTATTGTGAATTACTGCAAAGCAACATTGGCATCAATAAATGCATAAAAATTGAATCGTGGATGAAAAAACATTAAAAACAATTAAGAAAATCACGTTGTATGACCCGGATACAGTGAAAGGTGTGCAAAGGCCGCTGCACCGATGCTCAAGTGTAGCGTCAAATAAGCAAAGATTCTCACATTACGGACAGATAAGGGTAAAGAAGTTGGTCTATGAAACTAATATTAAAATAAGATCTAAAAATATAAGTACTCTCACAAGTAACTTAATGGAATTAGTTCATATCATGATTCATAGAAAAATATTAGTATTAAACAACTTTTTCATAATTATTAGAATCTTTAATAGCTTCTTTATTTTTAATATTAGTATTAAACAACTTTTTCAATTGTTTAGCATGCTCTTATCCTTAAAAACTTACATTAAAAAGATTTACTAAGAAAATCATTGCAATAAACACCCATAATTCCCAAATCACAATTCGTATAAGACCTAGACTTAAAACTTCACCTTTAGAAATCTTCTTAAAAGCTAAATTTAATTTAATTTTTTGGATCAATCCATAATATACCTCATTATTTTAATAATTATGTTGTTAAAATGTTTTTTAATTAAAAATCTAATTTATAAACTTGTAGAGATATTATTTTTATTTGTCTTTAATCTTATCATATTTAGCTAGGAACTTTTATTTTTCCTCCAAAAGCATCTGATTTAATTTGATCAAAATCACTATTTTAGACCTCCTAATATCTTCCTATACTCATCAAAGTCCAGCAAAATTTTTAGATTTCATCTCTCGTCAAGCTTTTTCATTAACTACATTTTCTCCTTTCTTAGCACTTAGTATATTATATAAATCTTCAATAGTTATAGATTTTAATTTATTCAGTACCCTTATATGAAATTTATAGCTTTCTTATGGTCATTATAATTATTTAGGAAATCAAAACACTTCAAATACCTTCACAATAACCATCTTAATAGAACTAATCATCTTATACTGCAAAAAACTAAGGGCCCGTTTGGGTCGGCTTATAAGTGTTGTCCTGTTTTGTTCGCACTTATGCACAACTTATAGAAAAATGCGTTTTGAAATTTGTAAAAGACGCGGCCCGCGGGAGGACCCCCACCGGCCGCGTTTTCGATTTGCTTATTACTCCTGTGACCCTCGTCGCGATTTCTCCTTCGCATTTCACTCTCAAAGAGCGGAATCGTCGCCGTTTGCGGAGTTCGCTTCGGCGTTCATGGGGGCTCCGCGCGCCCGAGTTCGCTTTGGCGTTCTGGGTCGACGAGTTCGCCGCCATGGATCTCCTCGACTGCCTCGACGCCTCCTGGTGCTCCGTATTCGTCTACATCGACAACTCCAACTGCAAGCTCCTCTCCCGTCCATACGCAAGAGTCGATTGTCGCCGCCTCAAATCCCGTATGCTCGGCTTCTGCATCTCCAATGGCGTCCATTTCCACCAATCTAGTGGTTGCTTATCAATTTTTTTTGGTTTAATTTATTATTGATGTTGTCGAAATAATAATTAAAGATGGCTCAATCTGAGAGCAAACGGATGAAGTATATGTATTGTTAGATATTTTAAATTTATTTTCATTTGCACTTGAAGAAATCTATATCATGAATTGCAAATGAATTATCTAAAATTTTACAAATCGACTACAACATCGTAAATGACATGTTTTTTGTTAAACTTTTAAGCAAAATTTTCAAAATACAAGTGATGATGGATGGTGTACACCAATCCAAGTTTAATTTTTGTGTGAAACTTGATATAGTTATTTCAAATATAATTGAGATATATATAATACATAGGAGATCGAGTTGATGTACTCAACTGTTTACAAAACGCACAAAACCAAACAACTAAACAGTTTATCCATAATAGGGGCAAAATAGTCATTTATCTAGAATCAGTTGTTTTTCAAACGCACAAACCAAACAGTTAGTCAGTTTATTCGGATCAGCTGCTCATCAGCAGATTATCAGGATAAATTGTTTATCAGCAGAAGCTGGATAAGCTGCAGCTGCCTCAAGCAGACCCTAAATTAAATAATCTCAAATCTACACTCTTAGCAACAAACTTGAAAAATTAACTTATGTTTATATGCTGAAATACACATCCATAACTACTACTCATATTGTGTGATTAAACATTTGCATGAAATCACATTAGGGCCTCATCTGGTTGCTTGATTTTAAAACTTATGTTTTGAAAAATAAGAAATATGTTAAATCCATCATTTGATTGGATGCACTCAGACATTAATATTGATTTCAAATTAAATAAGTTTTCTCAAAACTCCCTCAAATATTAATTTCAATTTCACACTCAAAATGAAAAAATGAAATCATTCTTTTCTACAACTTTTTTTTATTTATAGCCAATAAAAAAATCTTATAATCTTTGCAAAATAGATTATTTTTTCTTCTAAATAAAAATAAGCATTTGAATTGTTGGCTTTGATTATGAAGATAATTTCATGCTCTTCACGTTCTTAAAGTATATATTGATTATTGCAATATCATAGACCAAGTATAACTTCTCCCATCAATCACACTTCTGCCATCAAATATTGATTTCAATTTCACGCTCAAAATGAAATAATGAAATCATTATTTTTTACAAATTATTTTTATATATATCCAATAAAAAATCCTTATAGTCTTTGCAAACTAGATTAATTTTTCTTCTAAATAAAAATAAGTATGGCTTTGATTATGAAAATAATTCCATGCAGTTTACGTTCTTAAAGTATATATTGATTATCGCAATATCAGAGGCCAAGTATAACTTCTCCCATCACACTTCTATCACATATTTCACAATGCCACAAATCCTTTCAAATCCCATACTAAGAGAATATATATGTCCATTCAAATCACCTTAAATAATTATCCCTTTTTCCTCAAGTATAAATCATACCAATCACTTTTCTTCCCAAATTAAATTTTCACATAATTTTCTACTCCAAGTTGAGGAATATTAAATAAACAAGCATAAACTCTAACCATGTTTAAAATTTTCATGCAAATAATTAATTGAATAATCTCTTGTGATTAGCCCTATTCATTTCACCTTAATAGTTTTATTTTTGAACTCTTCTCCACATCATAACCCATATTTACGATTAATATTTTCAATGTATAGTAGCTTATAGCATTTACCCTAATGTGAGTGACTTGTTCACCATTTAGTTTCTTATAAACAAGCAATGTGTTTTTCCTCTTCTAGTCATTACAATCATAAATTATCATTTGCATTTTAAATCCTTAAATTTCAACAAAGAAAATAGTCTTATTATGTCATCAATGTTCTGATTTTATTTGGTGCTCCATGTTAGTCATATTACTTTAAATGTTAACTATTAACTATATTAATGCATCTCCACATCACATCATTGAAGCGGAACAAAATTTTTATGTGCAAGCTAAAATCGTGGATCCGTTTAGATTCAATGTCTTTCTTCATTTTGTATTGCATTTATAAGAGCAATAGGAAAATGAATCTGATTTAGTTTGGACTAAGCCTCTCCCTAGTCAGCTCATTAGCTTTATATTGTCCAGTTGTTAACTATTTGCTTGGTAAATTGATTGTCTGACTGTCTATTGACTAAGGCAATGATTCTAATTTCTAGGAACACATTCTATACCTACACATGTTTCAACATGTGAGAATCTATAACATTTATGCAAAATAATAGAATTTTTTACAGTTATTGCTTATTTATCATTAAGTCTAATCCTAACGTCAAGATCTAGACTAACAGTTGCTTTGAGAATTTCAAAAAATTTGTATAAAAATTTGTAGTAAAGTTTTGTTGCTAAACCAGTACAGTAATACCATTTGTTTGATTTATATACACTCGATATGTTCCACGGCAATGATTATATAGGGACTTCACAATTAACATTTGCTTCAAATATAGGCTTCTTTTTTTCTTAAATGTAAACACCAAACCTCTTTTAATTTTGGGTAGATATCATGCAAAATATATGACAGCTATACCACGCATCAAACAAATCAACAATTCTAGAAAGCATTCATTTTCATCCTCAGCGCTTTTCTAATTAACAAATTAGTCTCTAAAATTAAATACAAATCTTCGTAAAGGTATTTTCTTCCCTAAGTATTAAATATTTCATTAATTATTTAAATTAAAATGGTATAATATGGGGACAAAAATATCCACTTCACAATTTCACAAAGATCCCTAAGATGAAACATAAGCCTTCATGATGATCTCCCTTTTTTGAACTTCTCCTACTCTAGGGTTGAGATTCATCTACCATTCACATAAAGAGTGTTATGTCACATTCCTTAAACTCAGTACACTAGCCAACGTTCTATTGATGCAAAACCTCTGCTACCTCAAGCACCACCCACCACAACCATAAAGTGTCAATACAATTCCTATGACATTCACATGATCGATAATATGAATGAAAGTGATCGATGAAGCAGAGAGGTCATCAAAGGACTGCTTGACGAAGCAAGCATAAGGGTAGTCACCATGGTCGCAAATGTGGGTCTCGATCTCCAATAGGAATACCACTCGTATATACCCTTGTCACTTCGAAGATATTTCAATGAACTAGAGCCTCTGCTACCTAATTTAAAACATTCACACAGTTTATTGAACATATGATAGATTGTTTTTTTTTCAAATAGTTGTTTAATTTACATATCAAATATTATTGAATCGAAGAATGACAATTCTATTATCAAGACGCCAAAGAATTAGATCCCCACTAATTCATTGAATGGCGTAGCTATATTATTGTTGTTGTATAAACAATTAAATAAAAAACTATTTTTCACATGAACTACTAATCTTCAACCATAAGGACTTCTTTCCAATCCATTCCAACACAGAAGGAGAAGAGAAGAGGAAAACAAGCAAATAATCATCATTGAGGGATCAATTATTTGAGGAGGATAAGAACAACCAAGCAATTTTGACTGAGATGCATAAATAGAGGAGGATGTTGCCCAACAAAATACCAATATGGAGTACGAGTAAAATGCATGCCATCTACGAAAAATGAAGGCTATGGACGATGATGACAACACAAAACCAACACAAATCCATGAGTCATATTTGGAGGATGGAGAAAAGAAAATAGGCAAGAGGACAATGAGCAAGAGATTTTGGCTATCAAAAGGAACATGGATACAATTAGCTTAATAGAACACCCTTCATAATGGAGGGGCTTTCGTGAAAGAATCTTCCCTATGAAAAATCAAATGAAAATTATTTTAAACGCATGCCCACATAAAGCATATTATAAGTCACAATGACCACCAATGATATGTAATATTTAATTTAAACATTTAATTACATAGTATTGTTAGAATTTTGGTTGTTCAATTGATCTATGAATTTATTTAATATTTAAATGTCTTCTAATGTTAGGAGTGTCTAAGACTATTGTATGCTTAAGAATATTGAAGCATGTGACTTGTTTACAATGCATTCATTAAAGAAAGAAAAAATCATTTGTGATTTGGATGTTGATGACACAAACCATAATTAGTCCTATCAATCAACTAATCTAAAGGTCAAGGTTGCTATAAGCATAAGAGTAGAGTGATTAATAATCTCATATTCGCCAACTTCATATCATTACATTTGGTCTTCGATTCATCATTGTTGAACTAAATATCTACACTCTTTTAATCTACTAGGTACTTAAATTTGCATGGCATTGTCATTTAAGTCTGCTTTCCAAATTTTTCTCAACAATTATAGTAAGCTTCCCCAGTAAATTGCTTATACTACATAGAACTTTCCTTAGTTTTATTCTTTAATGTCGCATCATGGAAAAAAATCAATCATGTTCATACATTTTTGCATAACTGGTTATTACTAATCCAGTTAGTGATGCTTACCATTACAAACTTTTATATAGCATATTTGTTGAGTTTAAGCATTTTTTATCGCACATTAGAAAATGCCATGTCCCAAATGTCTTAGCTTCTTAAAACTTCTAATAAAATACCTTGACTAAAACCTTGGACTTTCCCATAACTTTGACAACTTCGCCGACGTATGATCCTGGCTCTTGCAGCAATTGCAACTCTTCTCTCAATGCTCTGACTGCAATTACAAAACTAGATGGAGACTTGAGTGTGCAAAGTGAAATAGAAGCAACAATAACTATATCTATTGAGAAGTGTTTCAAATGCAATTTAATTTTCTTGTAATAGTTAAGTAATGATAATTCTTCATCAAAAGGCCATGTTTAGAAAATGGAATAAATAACTTCAAACAGAATACAAATATAGATACAAGATCCATGAAGTCCAGTGCAAATAGAAAGAACCATTAAGCAGCTTAAATTCAAACTCATTAAGACCAGTGCCCATAGTGGGGCATCCTTCAGCATCTTCCTGTAAGCAAGCAAGCTAGAAAAAAACACAAGAATCCACGAATAAAGAAATTGTGATCATATTCAATAATGGTATTTCGTACAATTCAGATTACTAGTTACATTCATGAGAATGCTTGACACATGATGAAACTAAAATCTGTAAACAATCCAACAAGATAAACATTGAATAGTTAGTTTTTATGGAACCTTTGAGTGAGACCATGAGAATCAAGTTAATTAGAATAAATAACCAGAAAATCAAGCCGAAATGTCCTAAATGTCATTCAGATCCAAAATGGAAAGTAATACAGAAGTTGATGAAAGAATGCAAGCTATAAAAATCAAATATAATCCAAGGAAATTGAGGATAAATCAACTTCAAAAGTAAATCAATGATTAAATGGCAGCACCAAATGACAACTCATTGAGGAATAAGAGAGGCCTCAGACCACATCTACAGTCAACTTCTAATGTAAGTTGTGAACGGAAAGAACAGACTTCAAAATTAGATCAAGCAAGAGGATCAAATTCATGATGTGCGCATGGGTTTCAGCCTGCGGCTCCCAAAGACAAAAATGAAGCTCGATTTTAGATTAGAGGTGGTTTAGGTTTAGAATTCGGTTTAGGTTTCGGAAGATAACAGAAGCTAACCTTTGGCGTTGAGGTCGTTGCGCTGCGCCTCGAGACGGTTGAGATTGTGGGACTTCTGCCGAACCTGAAGCTGCAGATCGTGTATGTGTTGCAGATAGTACTGCCTAAGCCCTTCTCCGCCTCCTCCAGTCTTCGTCGGCGGCGATCGGAACTCTTCTTCCGCCTCCGGCTGAGGCAGAACTTGGATCTTTACGGAGGCCATCTCCTTGCCGATTGTCGACTGTATGTACATTCACCAGACTTTTATAGATCGTGGCTTCGTCGGGCCTATATCTATCTCCGGTCCATTGTCCGGAGGCCATAATTTTTCCTAGTATTTGCACTGAGCCGCTGATCAAATAAAAAAATTAGCATCCGTTTGAAGCGGTTCATAAATGCGACCATATTTTTAAAAACTCTGTCTAATTATTTGATTTGTGCGGTTTTTAAAATGCTATCTATTTTTTTTAGGTTTTTTACACTAAACGCATGTCATGGGTCAGTCTAGTCTGTTTGGCGCAGCTTATTACTGCATCCAACATTTTCGTAACGCCGTGGTGGCATTTGTTTAATGCGTTGGAGCTGGCGGTCGGGTAACACGCGTTAAGATTTGTGTTATTATCTGCTCAATCGTTCGCCACTCCCAGTGCCCCACGTTCGCGTTTAGGCTCAGCTTCCCTTCAGCCCCTCGATTATGTCTCCTCTGTCGTTGCCCTAGCTCTCTGATCAACTTCCCTGTTCTTTGCTCTCGATATCGTGCACCCCCTCCCCTCTCCCATTTCTCGTTCGTTGGGTGGTGAATCGAAAGGTACCGGTTTTTGTCGCCCCCTCCTCGCATTTTCTTGAAAGTTTTATGGGAGGTTTGTTCTTGGGACAAAATTAATTTGTGAGTTCTACATATGTACGGAGAAGGCAGCGGTATATTCTGTCACGGATCTATGATTTGAAAAAAAAAATTTTCCCATCTCCAGTAAATGAAATTGATTTTTCATGGATTTAGTGCTCCATCAGAATATCCAGTTGGTGGAAGTTGTAAGATTCATGAGAAATGATAATTGCTTTCTACTTATACAAGCATCCCCTGTGTCCAGTAAAGGAATTATTTTTTATGGGTTTTGTGCTACCTCTGATGATGTAGATGGATGAGTCATTTGAATCATTGGATTCTTCTGGATGGCCTTTTATGTTATTCAACACATTGATTTGGTTACCAACAACCCCTGTTATTCAACACCTGTAGCTTCTATTATATTTGGTGCTAAGGATTGGTTATCATATTACGAACATATATATCATATGCTTCCAATGGCGAATAATGGATTGTGCTGGAACTTATCCATTCACTTATCACAATTAGATTAAACAAATAGTTGACTTCAGAACTTTTTTTAGAAATATATAAATTAGTTTGAGTTTTATGTTGAGAAAGAAAATGACCTTGCAAACCACAGGCCTTTCTTTTTGAGATCTTCTGCTTGGATGGTGAGTCAGTTTTCATTTATGGGACAATTGGTTGCATACATACCGCATAGTTCTTATGTACTTACAAATCTAACACCTAAACATTCACATTCACACGCATACCACTCAAATTATAGTGAAGTTTTTGGTACCTTCTACTAAAACATAGCTTTGTTGCTATGTTTGGTTATTTTTGAAAATTTTGTTCCCAGTTAAGGCCATGTTTCTTTCCTATAGAGCATAAAAGTTTTTCTTGTGAAGTTTCTCTACTGGGATGGTTGATCATTTTTGTTTTAGGGGTTATTTACATACATATCACATAAGTCTCATGTATTTACAAATCTTAGACCTAAACATTCATAATGACATGCATACCACTCATACTTCATGCACTAGAAGGTGCGGCTGGTAAAAATATCAAAGCAGAGATGTTCGATATGTTAGTACATGAAATTTCTAAAGGACCATACATGAGGTTTCTAAAGAAGTTGATGATGGTTGTGGATGTTAATTTATGATTGTTGTGGAAGTAATGTGGATGAAGTTGGGCTTAAACCATACATTTTTCGTCATTGATAAAGTTTTTCTTCTTTCCTAACATGAAAACATGAAGCACGTACTTATTTTCCTTTGTTCCTTATAGTTCCAACATGTCTAAGACGCCTGAAGGGGGTCTGTCTGCTATGTGGAATAAAGAAGTAACAAATATTTTTTGTTATCTATGTATTAAAAAAATGGAACTGGGAAATAGGTCAACCACGTATTTTAACAAGGAAGGTTGACAAAATATTGCTAAAAGGTCTGTCTGCTATGTGGAATAAAGAAGTAATAAATATTTTTTGTTATCTATGTATTAAAAAAATAAAACTGGAAAATATGTCAACCACGTATTTTAACAAGGAAGGTTGACAAAATATTGCTAAAAGGTACAAAGAATTGACTGACATGAATTATGACAAGCTAAAATTCAAAAACAAATGGAACCAATTGAAGAAGGAATTAAAAATTTTGAAGGATTTGAAATTGTCGGTCTTTCGGGTTTGGTTGGGATCCCATGAACAATTGATGCTCTAGATGACTAGTGGGTTGAGAAATTAGATGTAATTTTCTAACTAATCCCTCAATTTTTTACTTCTCATATTGTTTTGGTTTAGAAACTAATCTCTCTAAATACAATGTTACAGACAATGTCGTCAGCAAAGAAATATAAACAGTGTGGAATTCAGTCGGGCTTTGAAGAAAAACTGGACATAATGTTTAAATGGGTTGTCGCAACGGGAAAACATGCATTCAATCATAGTGAGATGGGTTTTGCAGGCGTATCAGATGAATTCCCACCTGAGTCGTTCACAGCTGATGAAGAAGTGTGTAGCATAAACCATATGGATATGGGGGAGTCCAATACACTATCAAAGAGGCCCAAGGTTGCTAAGAGAAAGAAAAAAATGATCATTTTTTGAAAATCTCATTCGATCGACTCATTGATGCTTTTGGAGCTCCACCACCCACTCCACTCCCTGACAGCACCATATTAGATTGTATCAGACTTTTTGGGTTCTCTTCCTGAAGTAGTGGCTGACAGGCGATTTCATGCACATTGTGTGAAAAAACTTGAGAATCCTACCCGTAGGCAAATATTCATAGGTTGCAGCCAGAATTGCGTCTCAAATATTTGCGTGTTTTGGTCGATGAATGAGTTTTTTTTTTATGAGTTGTTTTTTGTAGTTTTTGTAATATTATGAACTTCTACATGTTTAGTTTTAATATGTTGTTCTATGTAGACATTTTTTTTAAATGTACCTGTGAATGGTTCATGCTTTATTTATAAGTTGATCTTTCTACAATTTTTATTTGATGTTTAATTGGTAGATAGTGATGTTTTCATTTCTTAATATGCACCCATTATGTCTTCACAATTTCATTAACAATTACATTTTTATACTTTATGATGGATCAACAGCAGGAACGTCGTAAAAGAATGACATGAGCTACAGTCATTGCCATATTGTTGTTGGAGTATTATCGATCCAGCAGTGTTCGCATTTCCCGCATGACATCCATCTTTGTTGGGGATAAATGGGTGGGTGAGATGCTTTTTGAACATCCAATAAGGTTAGAAACATTTTCAGAATGACTGTGTCTATTTTTATGGATCTTTTGCATGATTTATGTCTGAAGCACGACCTCCAGGGTTCTTCTAGAACGACGAGTAGGGAGGTGTTGGCTATAACACTGTATATTCTATCACATAACAAATCAATTAGAGGAGCTATGGAGAGATTTCAATATTCATCAGAAATAATTAGTCGTTACTTCTCCAAAGGCGTAAAAGGCACATGTTAGCTTAGCAGCTCAAATCTTTAAGTCAGGGGATCCATCATTTGCTAGCACTACATAACAAATTGCCAACGATCCCCAATACATGCCTTATTTTAAGGTAATTGTTGGATTCAACACATTACTTTTAGAATATAATTAGTTTCTAACTGTGTAAAAAGGTGCAATCGACGGTACTCATTTTTGATGCCCGACTACCCAGCCACGAGAAGGTGGCGTACATTGGTTGTAGTGGTTCAACAACTAAAAATGGCATGATTGTACGCGAATTTAACATGTGTTTCAATTTTGTGATGGTGGGCTGGGAAGGGAGTGCACATGACAACCGTATTTTCTCTTATGCCACTAGGAATAGATCATAGTGTTTCCCTCACCCGCTTTCAGGTTTGTTTTGCTTTGTAAACGTACTATTTAATATATATTATTTGTCATTAACAGTGTCTTCCGTAACAAAAAATATTATTTGGTTGATGTTGAATATCCTATGCAGGGGGGATACCTAAAGCCCTATACAGACACAAGATACCATATTCCTGATTTTGAGAGAGCAAGTGACACCATCCGTGGAAGAAATGAAATGTTTAATAAACGTCACTCATCTTTACGTGGAGTAATTGAAAGAATATTTGATGTTTGGAAGAAGAAATGGGTCATCCTACGTGAAATGTCGTTGTATCATTTTCAAAAGCAGGAGCATGTTGTTGTGGCCACAATGACACTTCATAAATTCATCTGAAGACATCCCTCACAATCAGATACAGATTTCAGTATGACCGACAATGATAAACTGAATGTCTCCGAGGAACCTTCAGGAATTATGGTGGAGCATTCATTACCTGAGGATGAGATATACTTTAATGAATTTGAAATTCATGATGGTGAAGGTTTGGTCGAGATGACTGCTTTGAGGGAGTCTATCGAAGATGCTATATGTGGGTGTTGATCAACCAAGTTTTATTTATTTATTAGACTATATGTTTATATTCGTATGCATTTACTTTTGATTTTTTTTTATTTCTTGATCTGACATTTGATTTTTTTCTAGCAGACATAGCAAAATGAGTTCTAGGATTTCAGGGACCAACGAAGTTGTATTGTGTTACTGCGGACTATCAGCTCCGTTACTAACGTCACGTCAACCTCGCAGCAATGGGAGACAGTTTTATGGTTGTCACAGGGGCGTTTCAGCTCGTTGCGGTTTCTTTCGTTGGGCCGACAATCCAACATATTGCACTGCAAATAGTGATCGGGACGATGATTTCCCATGATGACAGTGTAGCTGAGGACAGACGTAGTCAGAGTTTTAAATTAAATATAAATATTTTAATATTTTTCATTAATATTTTTCATTGTAGTTGTAATTGTATATATCTTTATTTTATTTGTTCTGATACTCACGAGAGTGTGAGCACTCTATGCTATCTTTTTTGAACTGATCTGCAATTATTTGTGAGTTTTGTTTTATTTATTTTTCTACTCATACAGTTCTGTT